ACCATGTATAGTAAGGCGTTTTTCGCCGAAAAAAACGACCATGTATAGTCAGGCGTTTTTAGCCGAAAAAAACGACCATGCATAGTAAGGCGTTTTGAGCCGAAAAAAACGACCATGTATAGTCAGGCGTTTTGAGCCGAAAAAAACGGCCGAAAAAAATGACCATGTATAGTAAGGCGTTTTTCGCCGAAAAAAACGACCATGTATCGTAAGGCGTTTTGAGCTGAAAAAAACAACAATGTATATTAAGGCGTTTTTCGCCTCTGTGTCGTCAATCCTTCGAGCCGGATTTGAACCAGCGACCTGAGGATGTCTGTTTGCACCACTACAGTCCTCCGCTCTACCAGCTGAACTATCGAAGGGTACAAGAAACAAATTCTAGATGTGATTTAAGGCTTTATAAAGTGAGTGCAGAAGAGCAAGAATGAGAACTTCTTCTCAGTGTTAAGTCAATCCTTCAAGCCGGATTTGAACCAGCGACCTGAGGATATCTGTATACGCCACTACAGTCCTCCGCTCATATAAACATGTTGAAAAGGTGCTGCTTTTACCCTTCGATAGCTCAGCTGGTAGAGCGGAGGACTGTAGTTGCGCATACTGACATCCTTAGGTTGCTGGTTCAAATCCGGCTCGAAGGAATGACTTCACACTGAGAAGTTCTCATTCTTGCGCTTCTGCACTCACTTTATAAAGCCTTTAGGCACATCTAAAATTTTCTTCTTGTACCCTTCGATAGCTCAGCTGGTAGAGCGGAGGACTGTAGTGGTGTATACAGACATCCTCAGGTCGCTGGTTCAAATCTGGCTCGAAGGATTGACGACACAGAGGCGAAAAATGCTTTAATATACATTGTCGTTTTTTTCAGCTCAAAACGCCTTACGATACATGGTCATTTTTTTCGGCTCAAAACGCCTTACTATACATGGTCGTTTTTTTCGGCTAAAAACGCCTGACTATACATGGTCGTTTTTTTCGGCGAAAAACGCCTTACTATACATGGTTGTTTTTTTCGGCTAAAAACGCCTTACTATACATGGTCGTTTTTTTCGGCTAAAAACGCCTTACTATACATGGTCGTGATTTTTGGGTTAAAACGCCTTACTATACATGGTCGTTTTTTCCGGCT